AAGCATCACTAGGTTACACTGCACCCATGGGTGTGCCACCTAAAGTGCAGCCTATGTTTGTTAGCTATACCTAAAGAATCACTGGGTTACACTGCACCGATGGGTGTGCCACCTAAAGTGCAGCCTATGTTTGTTAGCTATACCTAAAGAATCACTGGGTTACACTGCACCCACGGGTGTGCCACCTAAAGTGCAGCCTATGTTTCTTAGCTCTACCTAAAGAATCACTGGGTTACACTGCACCCACGGGTGTGCCACCTAAAGTGCAGCCTATGTTTCTTAGCTCTACCTAAAGAATTACTGGGTTACACTGCACCCACGGGTGTGCCACCTAAAGTGCAGCCTATGTTTCTTAGCTCTACCTAAAGAATCACTGGGTTACACTGCACCCACGGGTGTGCCACCTAAAGTGCAGCCTATGTTTCTTAGCTCTACCTAAAGAATCACCGGGTTACACTGCACTCATGGGTGTGCCACCTAAAGTGCAGCCTAAGTTTGTAAGCTCTGCCTAAAGCATCACTACGTTACACTGCACCCATGGGTGTGCCACCTAAAGTGCAGCCTATGTTTGTTAGCTCTACCTAAAGAATCACTGGGTTACACTGCACCCATGGGTGTGCCACCTAAAGTGCAGCCTATGTTTGTTAGCTCTACCTAAAGAATCACTGAGTTACACTGCACCCATGGGTGTGCCACCTAAAGTGCAGCCTATTTTTGTTAGCTCTACCTAAAGAATCACTGGGTTACACTGCACCCATGGGTGTGCCACCTAAAGTGCAGCCTATGTTTGTTAGCTCTACCTAAAGAATCACTGGGTTACACTGCATGTTACACTGCACCCATGGGTGTGCCACCTAAAGTGCAGCCTATTTTTGTTAGCTCTACCTAAAGAATCACTGGGTTACACTGCACCCATGGGTGTGCCACCTAAAGTGCAGCCTATGTTTGTTAGCTCTACCTAAAGAATCACTGCGTTACACTGCACCCATGGGTGTGCCACCTAAAGTGCAGCCTATGTTTGTTAGCTATACCTAAAGAATTACTGGGTTACACTGCACCTATGGGTGTGCCACCTAAAGTGCAGCCTATGTTTGTTAGCTCTTCCTAAAGAATCACTGGCCTACACTGTCTTCACGGACGTTTGCCTCGCGCTCTCTTCAAAGAAAAAAAAGCTATATTCTGTTTCGCCAAGAATCAAGCTTTTTTTCCCAAAAAAATTGACACCATACTGGGCCCCGAAAGACGTTAAAAGTTCCTCCGTAATAGAAGAATATTTTGCTAGAGTTAAGAAGTTTGGCTTACATAAAGAATCACTGGGTTACACTGCACCCACGGGTGTGCCACCTAAAGTGCAGCCTATGTTTCTTAGCTCTACCTAAAGAATCACCGGGTTACACTGCACTCATGGGTGTGCCACCTAAAGTGCAGCCTAAGTTTGTAAGCTCTGCCTAAAGCATCACTACGTTACACTGCACCCATGGGTGTGCCACCTAAAGTGCAGCCTATGTTTGTTAGCTCTACCTAAAGAATCACTGGGTTACACTGCACCCATGGGTGTGCCACCTAAAGTGCAGCCTATGTTTGTTAGCTCTACCTAAAGAATCACTGCGTTACACTGCACCCATGGGTGTGCCACCTAAAGTGCAGCCTATTTTTGTTAGCTCTACCTAAAGAATCACTGGGTTACACTGCACCCATGGGTGTGCCACCTAAAGTGCAGCCTATGTTTGTTAGCTCTACCTAAAGAATCACTGGGTTACACTGCACCCATGGTTGTGCCACCTAAAGTGCAGCCTATGTTTGTTAGCTCTACCTAAAGAATCACTGCGTTACACTGCACCCATGGGTGTGCCACCTAAAGTGCAGCTTATGTTTGTTGGCTATACCTAAAGAATTACTGGGTTACACTGCACCTATGGGTGTGCCACCTAAAGTGCAGCCTATGTTTGTTAGCTCTACCTAAAGAATCACTGGCCTACACTGTCTTCACGGACGTTTGCCTCGCGCTCTCTTCAAAGAAAAAAAAGCTATATTCTGTTTCGCCAAGAATCAAGCTTTGTTTCCCAAAAAAATTGACACCATACTGGGCCCCGAAAGACGTTAAAAGTTCCTCCGTAATAGAAGAATATTTTGCTAGAGTTAAGAAGTTTGGCTTACATGAGTTTCAATATAAACTTATAAGCATAATTATAGCACACACATACATTGTCATCAAACTCCTGGCATGTAGCCTGAATAAGCCAAGGAAATAAAGCATATAACGAGAAATGTTCGTCAAATAGTCTCGTTAAGTAAATTATACTTCACTTTGCGAAAGAAATTTATCGCTTGTATCCGTGTTACGCATCGAAAAAGCGAGGAGTCATCGCATGACATTTGGTAACAGAGGTAATACTCACGGGTTTCAAGAATTCCAATTCCACGATTTTTCGCCGAGTAACAAACTTAAAACTTCAATTCTTACCTTACAGTTGTCGGTTCATTTACCTTACATTCGCCAACACTAGTAAACATGAACAAAACGATGAAATCCGGCACTCTTCTTTCAGAAGTAGCAAGCCGCATGAAGTAAAATCCACCGATATGCGCTGCATTCTCACTACAAATATAAACATTTGTCGTGGAGAAAATACGACGAGGAGGGAAAAATCCCAGATCTTCTCCTCGGCAATGTATTCCAGCTACCAAGCCGGCGTATCCCCAGAAGGTGGACTCGAAGTGGGACAAACCTTGCGATTTTTTTTAGAAGCCCTTTGCGCGCAAACTAATTTATTTTGGCGCGAAATGAAGATTAAGAAAATGTATCTGAAATCTAATACACGACAAGAAAATTTTCGCACTTTCGAGGAGCGCGACATATTAAATGGGATTAAGTCGGATTAGCTGCCCGCGGAGAAAACATCCCTGCGTGGGATTGTACTTCCAGTAAAAAGCCTCTGTGTCCTCTCATGTTTGTGTTGCTCACTAAATTAAAGAAAACTGTATATGAAATAGTTCTGAGCGAGGGCTGCCCGGCATTTAGGAACCGCTGGAGCTTGACATTGTAACGTGTATGCCTGTTATGAATGTCTGATCTCTTGACAATTTATTGCTGAGCTAAGCCATTAATGGATTTATACAATAGGGAAGCATCCCTGAACTGAAGGAGAACTGACACTGGCAAGAATTTACGCTGTTCGAGTGTAGGAGTTATATGCCCAAATTTCTCTTTGCCAGGTAAAATTCTGGCTTCAATGCTTTGAACTTATTGAAGCCTGGCAATGTTCCCTTAGTTGTGCCTGCCCAAACCGAAAAACAATAGAATAATTTACTGAAAACATTTGCATTCACAGTACACATTAAGGAAGGGAAGTCCAACATTTGGCGTATTCCACTCATCGCGATTGCGCAGAGTTTTCCAAAAAGATACGAGACCATGGTCGTAAAACGACAGGTGCTTATCAATAACCACCCCAAAATATTTACGTGCATCTACTGGGGCAAGACCTTTACTTTGGAAAACAAGAAAGGGCATGCGCACTGACGTCCTTCTTAGCATTCGTGAATATCTGAAACACAGAACTTCGTTTTGACTGGGTTTATCAATAGATGGTTGGCGCAACACCATGAAGCTACGCGTCGCAGATCATGTTGAAGAGCGTCGAGGCCGGCATCAGTACCTTTGTAAGAAAAAGCTAGGTAGAGCTTAGAATGATCCACGTAAGACTCCATTTTACTAGTAGTGCTCACAGACGGGATATCATTTGAGTACAAGCTAAACAACAACGGGCCGAGGATAGAGCTCTGCGGTACTTCGTGCTTTATCTTTAGTCGAAGTGAAAGTTTGTTGCTAATACGCTCACGTTATTGTCCGTTTAGCAGCTAACTAGTGAACCAATCAAAACGTTTCTGCAAAGAGTTTCCGATATCGTTAAAGAACCACTAAGTGGCTGTGTTATAAAAACGTTTCAATTTAAAGAGGGAGAATCAGGTGGGTAATATGTTTCCAGAACAAATAATTAGATTTCTATACAAATAAGAATAGAATAGCGATTTGCATATTCACTGCAAAACCTAAAAAGTTGAAAGCTGATTTTACCTTGAGAGCTACTTGAAAAAGCCACAGACGAAGATGACTTCATTGGTGATGATGAAGGTGACCATGGCAATGGGTATTGTGTTAGTAATGATGGTAATAATGACGATAATGAAGATGGTGATGACGGTGATTCTGATGGTGTATGTGAGGGTAAGGATAATGGTGATAATAGTGGTGGTGACGCTGACGTTGATGGTGATAATAGTGATGACGAAAGTGATGGTAATGGTGGAAGTGATGATGATGGTGATGATGATGGTAATGATGATCTTGGAAGTGATGATGACGGTGATGGTGGAAGTGACGGTGATGATGATGGTGGTGATGATGGAGGTGACGATAATGGTGATGGTGATAGTGATGATGAAGGGGGTGATGATAGTAATGGTGATGGAGAAAGTGATGACAATAATGGCGATGGTGATAATGGAAGTGATGACGATAGCGATGATGATAGTAATGATGATGGAGGAAGTGATGATGATGGTGATGGCGATGGTGGAAGTAATGATAATGATAGTGATGGGGATAGTGGAACTGATGATGCTGCTGCTGATGATGGTGATGATGAAGGTGATGATGATGGTGATGGTGAAGGTGACGATAACGGTGATGGTGATGATGAAGGAGACATTAATGGTGATAGAGTTGTTGATGATAAGAGGGATGATGAGGGTGATGGTGAAGCGCTTGTGTCACATCGTTCTCCGGTAAATCCTGTAGGGCACGTGCATTGAAAGTTATTTGAGCCACTTGTACAAGTACCACCGTTCACACATGGTGTGGAGGAGCAATAGTCGACTGATGAAGGAAACAAATTATTTGAAAAACATCATATAACATATTGAGATAAACTCTCGGGAAAAAATCGAGTTTTTCATAAGTGACGAGAAAAGTGATTAGTGAAAAAGAAAACTCGTCCTTATTCCCTACCATCTGTACATTCATAACCATTGCCGTTGTCTGCCAGATAACAGGTTTGACCATCGGGACAATTAGCACCAGCACATTTGTCATCTAAAGGAAAAAAAACGGAAGTTTATAACTATTCTATTATTATAACATCCATATAACATCCACAGTTTTTTCGTGTTATTATTCATTTAAAGTATTTCTCGTTTTCTAATAGGTTTAAATCCCCCGGCTAATTTATTAACATATAGATTTAGCCAGGGCTAAAAGCGAAGCTCCCATTAATAAATTTATAATTTAAATCAAACAATAAACTTGTATTCTACAATTCATTCGGGTTTTCCGGGCTTATTTATAGTATAGAGGCCCTTGAAAATCGTTTTTAAAAGCAATCAGTCTCGTCTTATCGGGATTAAGCACCAAGCAATTATCGAAACACCAGCTGCGTATCCGTTGTAAATCGGAATTAACACCTTCTCTAGCACTCTAGCAAGAGTAGAGTAATTCACAGTAAAAGACAGGAGAAGCTTGGTGTCATCCATGTAGCACTCGGTCGAGTAATGTTGATAAATATTTGGTAGGTCATTTACATAAATACTGAATAGTAATTAATGCTGCCAGAACGCCTCACTACGGTATACCACTGACTACTCAGGAGCGCTTACCATTTGTATGGAAAACCCGGAATTTCCGGGGAGAATTCAAATGAAACTTTTCATCCCGTTGGAAATTGTCCGGAAAGAAGTAATACCTTTCGAGGTATTACCTTTTTCCCGTTCTTACCGAAACGACCGAAATTAAATTTTCTGCACCATCTGTTTGGATTACCAGAGCCAGGCATCATGTCGAGAGAAAGTAAAAAATTTACCGGTCTTTTGTAAATGGTACATGGTACAACTCAATCCCGTTCCTGTTTTCGGTGCCAAAAAAAAAAAAAACAGTATCATTTGACGGAACTTTTTTACCGAAATTTCCGTGCAAATGGTAAGCGCTGCTGGTAATTTATTAGATAAAACAGAGTTTATACGGACTGCTTGATATCTCTGAGAAAGACAGCTTTCGAAAATTAGAGTGCAGAAGCTGATAAAATTTAGTAGCCAAATATATAATCTTATGTTAAAAAATACAAAAAAATTACTGAAAATGTAACTTGATAGAAAACGTTTGATTATTTAATTTTGCGTGAATCATTATACTTAGACGTTATTTTTACCTTATTGCATACTAAAGACCTTTATTGTAAACAGACTGATACCTCTTTATTACTGTTATTGTTACTTACTTACTCACTCACTCACTCACTTAATAACTTACTCACTTAATCACCCACTCACCCATTAATTTTCTTACTTACTTACTCACTCGATTAATTAATTAACCAAGAAATGAATTAAATTAATTACCTACTTACTTACCTTGTACCCCGTTGGTACAATAACGCCATCCATTACCGTTGCCGTTACAGTCCCTGAATTTAACAAGCTTGTACAAGTAAAAAGCACCGCAGTTAACAACATCTATGGATTGGGGATTATTGCAGGTATTAGCCCCTGTATGGCCGCATACTTTCCTTTGGACAATGCCTTCGCTTGGGATAGGGTGACTTTGAGCGAGATAAACTTGGACTTTTGTTCCACAATAGCCCTTTGCAGGGGCTGTTACAGCTGCCAAAGCATTTCCAGCACCTCCTGACACTCTGTACCAAGATTCCCACCCACCGTCAAGGTCGCCAGCGTCACATTTAATATCACTTGTCCTAGAACTCACTGTGCGATCGCTTTCACTAAGATGTCTGTAATTATTATCGCTACAGGGGTCACCTCCTGGCAATGGAAGACAAAAACAGGTGGAGTTACTGAAAGAAAACAATGACTTCCAACTGCACAAATAAAAATACTTTTAGTGGCCAAATACGGAAATTATGCATGTCTAATGTTGCAATTTAAGAATAAACTGTAACAACAATTAAGCAAGCAAGGTCCCTGGGCCTGATAGGCTTAAGAGGCCCATCCTGACGTCCGGGATTTCCCGCTTTTCCCCAACTTGCAGCAACTGTAGCTTTTCACGAATGGTAAAACCGAAAGCTGGGAAGCATGAATCCTGAAACACGTTATAGCTTGCCTCAGCTTTTGCGAAAATGAAGTCAGACAAGGACGCAAGGTACAAACAAACAAAGTCTAGACCTGGTTATATGTTAGACACGATAGATATTTGTTGTAGATTTTGGAAACTGTGTGCTGTGATACGAAATTGGCCCACATGTTTACATCAGAAGGTGAGTTCAAATTCTGTATCTGACGCCAGGAAAGAGTTCTTTATGGCTGATAAATATATTTTGGATATAAAATTTTCCACATAGCGTATTTGAAGCATCTGTGTATCACTGCAATACTTGAAATTGCCTAAATTACACGTATTTAAGCTGAATCATTTGCTGGAGAATTGATTTGTGTCGCGCCCAATCTCTTAACTGTCAAGTCAGAACGGTCAAATTACACTCAAGAGCTCCCCGAATTTCGCTTTCCCAAAAAATTATTTTATATTTTGTCCAAAGTCTTATTTTGAAAGCTCAGAGATTGTTTTAAACGCGAAATGTCTTTTGCTTTTTGAAATGATGTGCCTATTTTAATTCAAGGCTTTCGATATTTGGTAATAAACATTGTGCTCGAGTAAAATCCTATAAATTTTGTAAATATTTAAAAATCTATAAAATATTCAAATTGCAATCCATTCAAGAACACGACCTCCCAATATATGTATTAAAACCCCATTAATAAGATAAAACGCTTTCAGGGTTGAACGATATTAACTCGTTCTAGAGGCCCGAAAAAGTGGTCTGGTCGTAATCGCCCGAACTTGACTCTTGCCTTATTGCCAAAATATTTACCTGATGAACCTGAAATTTATGGTTTTATTAATACAATACCTATAGTAGTCTGAAATTCTAGGGCTACTTGTGTTGTTGATTTTGTATCTTAGTTTGTATCATTGTTTATTTGATCGTGTTATACGTTTGTTGCTTCCAGAGTATGCGAATGGCATCCTCTCCTTATTTCCGGTTGGGCAGGAGGCGTGTGTATTTCCCTTGCCACCTAATTAATTGGATTAGACAAGGGTTGCCCAATGATTATAAAGCTATTTCGATCTGTATCATTTGCCTTATTGTAACTTAATCCACGGAATATATTACATCCAACATGACTAAGGGCTTGGTTACCATGGTGGCATCGACCGTTAAAAATGGCAACGACCGTTTACGAAGGGAAATAGGCGTTTCCGGTACGGGATTTTCGGTTTTGGCAGCGCGAGTTTCCTCAAAAGTTCACTTACGTTCCACGGAAGGGCAAAAATTTTATTGCTAAATTATGAAACCTGATGTTAGCATCAAAGGTCGGTGCACGTACTCAGACATGACGGGCGAAGTGGGCGGTTTTCAAACTCCCAGGGTTTGTCTGCAGGCTTTTCCTTCCTTTCTTCCTTACCCCGTCTCGCTCCATTTTTCGCGCGGTCTTTGGTTCCTTCTTCTTTGCTCCGAAACCTGCACGGAAACGCTTGCTACGCAGGCTATGCCCTTTTGTTACTTTTGAATAAACATTTTGTTCGCAGTCTCCGTGCCTCACGTGGACGTAACACTTAATCACGGGCTCATATCTTATTCAGTTATGAATATCTAGTAAACTTTTCGATGTTAGTCGTTGCACTACATGCAGACGCTTTACCAATGAGCCCAAAGTGTCCCCAGCCATTTCGAAACGACACTAACCGAAGAGGACATGGCGTTCCAGACCTTTCCGGAAGCCTAAAAATGTCGAGGAAAAGAGGAACTGGTTAATCGAAAATTGTACCCCAAAGTCAACAAGTGCAGTGAAAAAGTAGTCTTTGAAAATATTGTTCTGGAATGGCCGAATGGTAGGTAGACAAAAATCCAGTGCTCGAAGTCTTGAGTTCAACGCTTAGACACTGCTATAGCCAATATTAGCGCTGAGTGTGTCTGATTAAATTGGTGAAACAACAAAGTTTACTTTTGTGCAATAGTAAATTTACCGCCTGCATTATTTTGAAAGAAAATTAAATATTTACCCAGAATTTGTTGTGAAAGTTGCTGTGCTGAAATTAATATTCATAAGTAACGTGCAGTGACATTACCACATACTAATAAGGGCTGGTTTAATCAGATATTGGCTGCGATTACATCTACGACGTAACTTAAGTTTAACTTAAGTTAGTGTCAAGTTACGTGATGTCATACCTAACTGTAGTTAGTGCTTTGGACGACATTGCGGCCACACCACACGGTTAAAAACAGTTAGTTCTAATTAACCTATGTACATTTTATGTTTGTTGTTTTTGGTTTCCCCCTTGCTTCACCCTTGGTTTTTGTTTTGCATATTTATATATGCTCATCTCGCACTTGCAAAAAGAAGTGTCACATTCCGATTGGTTGGTTGTTTGTAAACTTAAGACTAACCAACGAACCCTGCTTGGGTATAACTATAGTTAGTCTGTATTGCTTTGGATCACCTAGGCGTAAATTTCATAGTCAGAGCGAACAGAGAAGCGATCACATTACCGAAATTATAGCTAACTATAGTTATCCCCGTCTTAACTATATAGTTAGTAGCTCATATGTGACCGTAGTTATAATGACACTGCACGTGATGTATTATCGACCATTAATAGGGTAGGTCAATGGGGTTATGAATTATTAATGGCTTGTTTTAATAAATGAGAAAAATACAAAATGAACAGTAAAAGGTGCTAATTATCAGATAAATAGCTTTGCTTTGATAGAGTCAGATTGGGTGTTCAGTTTAGGTTTCTTTTCTTTTGTAAAAAAGCATTTCGAAAATTAAGCAATCCGTTTTTCCACGGTATTTCTTAAGCAGAGTGTCCACGTAAATTCGGGACATTTTTTTAATTCGCCACTTCCACATTTTCCATAATGCACCTTATTTGGCCTCCTAAAATTTTTCATAACCTTTGTTTTTCATTGCTCCTGGGTATTACAGCGTCTTAAGAGAAATTGAAAACAATGCGTATGCAAAAATTTGAGGAGCAAATAAGGTGCATTGTGGAAAATGTAAAAGTGGCATCTAACCGACCAATCAAGTGAGCGCCGAGGATGCTCGAAAATTTTGAAATTTGGATGCTCTGAAACGCTATTCTTGTGCTGAGAGGGCGATTTCTTTTTATATACGTAAATCGATTGTTATAATTGTGCCTATTTTTATTTGCGTGTATTTGGCATACAAATACTCGATTTTGTTTCATATTTCAGGCGGTATATATATATGTAAGATTTTTGAGTATCAGGTTCAGTTAAGTACACTCTGTTAGGTGTTCTTGTGTGTTTATCACAAGAATTTGTTTGAAATGCCAAAACAGGTTTTAAAATCGGGATTTTTCCTATCCCGATCGCATGTTAATCGGGATTCAGGATTTCCAAGCAAATTCGGGAGAATCCCGACAAGACTGGGAAGGTTGGACAGTCTCCCCCAGTTCAGGATGGTAAATTGGTCACGTAGATCTTTATCCGTTTGATTGTGTACGTCGCGCAGGTGTTTGTCAATAGCCGAATGTTTATGTTTGTCAATACGTTAAAAAAGGTGTCGGCACCTTTTGCACTTCATATTTCTCTTTTAATCACATGCAACTAAACTTTTGCACGCAACTCCCTATACTATGAACTGACGGAATAAAAAACTACACGAATTTGAAAATGATGACATGGAGTCATCGAAACCGGTCATTCATTGCTATCCCAATTTTTTATTCTCAAAATCGTATTAACCGGTTGAAATCTGTCATTATTTGAACAGAGTGCAATGTCTTCAAACTGGCACAAAATTGTGACTATGAAAAAAGACAGTGTGCAGATAGCCAGTGTCCGTAAAGCGGGGTTGACGATATATGAGAGTTGGTGGTGAACTCCGGACGCAGAGAAGTGCCCATTGTCTCTATTAACCGGAGAAAATGACAATTAATTGCCTCTAATCTCTCGCGCTTGCCTATCATCGAAATATTGAAACGGACTGCAGAAATCCCTTATTCATCTAAATTCTAGCCAAGAGTGCAAAACCCTTCGCATTTACACCCTTTCGTTCCCCAAAACGAGTCATTCAAGGCACCTTTAAGATAATATCCTCTCACTGCTGATGTTACTCGGCTTCAGACAGACTTTCCCTGTCAGTTGTGTCGAAACATTGCCCAGCATTGTAAATATCAGTTCCATTTCTCAGTGGTAACGAAGCAATAGGCTAACACAAGGGAAACATAATTTCAGTGATAGCAAATTAGCCTTCACGGCCTATAATACTATTCATGTTTATCTTAAGCGAACAGTCTGCGACAGTTTAATCCAGTTGTTCTGATCTTGAAATGGCGTTATGACGACACCGAAACGCCGTTCGATTTTATCGATCCAACTTGACTATTATACTTGCTAATTTAGAACCAAACCTTTACTTGTGTGGCCCAAACCACTGCTAAATACAATACTTTTCGCCAATTTTTGATGCTTTAAAACTGAAGGGTTTAATATAAATACCTTTGACACAAAACCAGCAGAGAACACACAAGAAAACTGTTAAAATCTGTTGATACAATAATACGTTGACAAAACATAAATGATTGGAAAAAGGACATGGATTTCTAAAGAAATTTACCGTAAAATTACCTCGTGCATGTTTTCCTGTTGATGGTGGAGGCTTAGTCTCGGCGGTAATAGATACAAAATAACAATTAACTTTTTTAGTAGATTTTCGAGTTAAGTCGAGTTTTTTGTTATGTTAAAATGTCATTGTTGGGAAGCCAAATTCAAT